TCTAAATACACAGTTAGATTTGGCATATCAAAGAACCCCAATAATTCAATTTTTGATGAAATCAAACTAAGTTTAATTTTGGACCCTTTTGACCTCAATATGAACCAATTTGATAGCAGGGTCCAAAAATAAATAAAATGCTCCGCAGGGCGCAGCTTGATACGACCGCAGAGGTCGAACCCTGAACAGTTGGGGCAAGTATGGACACAACATTCAAGCTTGATACAGCTCTGAATTTGGATTGTGATTAAATATTTGACACAGCATAGGTTTCTGACACAGAATGAATGTGGTCTAAGAACTTAAAAATTTTAAATTGGACATTCACCTATTATGGTCCAATATCCAAAATCTAAATACATGGTTAGATTCAGCATATCAAAGAACCCCAAGAATTCAATTTTTGATGAAATCAAACAAAGTTTAATTTTGGACCCTTTTGATCTCAATGTGGACAAAAATGATAACAGGGCCCAAAAATCAAAAATCTAAATACATGGTTAGATTCAGCATATCAAAGAACCCCATATATTCAATTTTTGTTGAAATCAAACAAAGTTTAATTTTGGACCCCGATTTGGACCAACTTGAAAACTGGGCCCATAATCAAAAATCTAAATACATGTTTAGATTCAGCATATCAAAGAACCCTAAAAATTCAATTTTTGTTAAAATCAAACTAAGTTTAATTTTGGACCCTTTGGACCTTTATGTAGACCAATTTGAAAACGGAACCAAAAATTAAGAATCTAAATACACGGTTAGATTCGGCATATCAAAGAACCCCAATAATTCAATTTTTGATGAAATCAAACAAAGTTAAATTTTGGACCCTTTGGACTTCAATGTGGACCAATTTAAAAACGGGGCCCAAAATCCAAAAACTTAATACATGGTTAGATTCAGCATATTACAGAACCCCATATATTCAATTTTTGTTGAAATCAAACAAAGTTTAATTTTGGACCCCGATTTGGACCAACTTGAAAACTGGGCCCATAATCAAAAATCTAAATACATGGTTAGATTCAGCATATCAATGAACCCCATATATTCAATTTTTGTTGAAATCAAACAAAGTTTAATTTTGGACCCCGATTTGGACCAACTTGAAAACTGGGCCCATAATCAAAAATCTAAATACATGGTTAGATTCAGCATATCAAAGAACCCCATATATTCAATTTTTGATGAAATCAAACAAAGTTTAATTTTGGACCCTTTTGATCTCAATGTGGACAAAGTTGATAACGGGGCCCAACAATCAAAAATCTAAATACATGGTTAGATTCAGCATATCAAAGAACCCCATATATTCATTTTTTGTTGAAATCAAACAAAGTTTAATTTTGGACCCCGATTTGGACCAACTTGAAAACTGGGCCCATAATCAAAATTCTAAATACATGGTTAGATTCAGCATATCAAAGAACCCCATATATTCAATTTTTGTTGAAATCAAACAAAGTTTAATTTTGGACCCCGATTTGGACCAACTCGAAAACTGGGCCCATAATCAAAAATCTAAATACATGGTTAGATTCAGCATATCAAAGAACCCCATATATTCAATTTTTGTTGAAATCAAACTAAGTTTAATTTTGGACCCTTTGGACCTTTATGTAGACCAATTTGAAAACAGAACCAAAAATTAAGAATCTAAATACACGGTTAGATTCGGCATATCAAAGAACCCCAATAATTCAATTTTTGATGAAATCAAACAAAGTAAAATTTTGGACCCTTTGGACCTCAATGTGGACCAATTTAAAAACGGGGCCCAAAATCCAAAAACTTAATACACGGTTAGATTCAGCATATTAAAGAACCCCAAGAATTCAAGAATAAAACCCCATTGAAATTGATCAAGAAATAAGCAATTTATACGAAGTATCTTCTTTTGCACAATACTGTGCAATTGATTATTTCTTGCTATTGCGCAATACTGTACAATTGACAATTTCTTGCTATTGCGCAATATTGTGCTATTGGATATTTCTTGCTATTGCGCAATACTGTGCAATTGAAGATTTCTTGCTATTGCGCAATACTGTGCAATTGAAGATTTCTTGCTATTGTGCAATACTGTGCAATTGAAAATTTCTTGCTATTGCACAATACTTATTATATAATAATTTACACATCCTGTTTGGTGTGTATCTCCTACCATATCATTATTATTTGCTTTTAAATATAAATCAGAAATAACCAACTTAAAATGGAAAATTTTAAAAGAAAAAAGAAAAAAGGAAAAAAAGAAACCCCCCCCCCCCCAAAATTTTTTGAACCCCCTTATGATTCATCACCCCCAAACTCAATCTCAGCCTTCCCTTTGTGGTATGGTACCTTGCAGTACAATTTCAGAGAGATCCATACACTTGAACACAAGTTATTGTCTGGAAACTAGAAAAATGCTTATTTTTGGCCCCTTTTTGGCCCCCAATTCCTAAACGTTTTGGGCAATTACCCCCAAACTCAATTCCAGCTTTCCCTTTGTGATATGGAACCTTGTAGTACAATTTCAGAAATATCCAAACACTTACACACAAGTTATTGTCATGAAACTAGAAAAATGCTTGTTTTTTGCCCCTTTTTTGGCCCCTAATTCCTAACATTTTGAGGCAATTACCCCCAAAATCAATTACAGCCTTCCCTTTGTGATATGGAACCTTGTGGTACAATGTCAGAGAGATCCATACACTTACACACAAGTTATTGTCTGGAAGTTACAAAAATGCTTATTGTTGGCCCCTTTTTGGCCCCTAATTCCTTAACTGTTGGTACCATAACCCCCAAAATCAATCCCAACCTTCCTTTCATGGTATTGAACCTTATGATAAAATTTCATGGAGATCCATTCACTTAAACTAAAGTTAGAGTGCGAAAAACCAATGTGTCTTCGGACGACGCCAGACGACGCCGGACGACGACGACGACGACGACGACGCCAACGTCATACCAATATACGACCAAAAAATTTTCAATTTTTGCGGTCGTATAAAAATCTAAATACATGGTTAGATTAAGCATAACAAAGAACCCCATATATTCAATTTTTGTTGAAATCAAACAAAGTTTAATTTTGGACCCCAATTTGGACCAACTTGAAAACTGGGCCAAAAATCAAAAATCTAAATACATGTTTAGATTCAGCATATCAAAGAACCCCATTTATTCAATTTTTGTTAAAATCAAACAAAGTTTAATTTTGGACCCTTTGGACCTTAATGTAGACCAATTTGAAAACTGGACCCAAAATTAAAAATCTAAATACACGGTTAGATTAGGCATAACAAATAAATAAATGTTTTCAAAGATTTTACAAATCTAATGCGCCATACTGTGCAATTAAAGATTACTTCTTGAAATTTTTTCAATATTTGAAATTTGAAAAAAAAATAATATTTGAAGAATAATTCTTTTTAATTTCTGAAATCTGAAATGAGAAAAAATTGACCCCCCATAATTTCTTTTTACCCCCCCCCCCCCCCCTTTTTCCCCCAAAAAAATTCTTTCCCTCAAGATATGGTCATAATCTCAATCAAATTTCCAATGGAGTTTACAACCATAATTACCCATTTAAATTTACCATAGTGCTAACTTAATCTATTTTATAATAGAATTTAAAATATAGTGTCAAATCTTTCATATGGATTTTTTTGTAAAAAAAAAAGATGCAACATTTGCAGATATTTTTACTGGTCTTCCTTTATAAATATGCATTTCTTTAAACATAATTTAAAAGCAGTGTAAGGGAAGTAACCAAAACGTTGTATTTGGATTACCTCCCTTACACTGTTTTAAATTATCTTAATTGTTCATAACCATTACTTTATACATAATTTAAAAGCAGTGTAAGGGAGATAATTTCAATGATGTATTTGATTTATCTCCCTTACACTGCTTATTATATGTTTTGTACTAAAGTATTTGTCCATTAACCAGGACAACCTTGTTTTTCCCCCTTTTTTGCCCCTAATTCCTAAACGGTTTGAGCCATAACCCCCCAAAGCAAATCCTAACCATCCCTTTGTGGTATGGAAACTTGTAGTATAATTTCAGAGAGATCCATACACCGTTCCACAGTTATTGTCTGGAAACTAGAAAATGCTTATTTTTGGCCCCTAATTCCTTAACTGTTGGTACCATAACCCCCAAAATCAATCCCCACCTTCCTTTTGTGGTATTGAACCTTATGGTAAAATTTCAAAGAGATCCATTCACTTAAACTAAAGTTAGAGTGCGAAAACCAATGTGTCTTCGGACGAAGACGCCGACGCCAACGTCATACCAATATACGACCGCAAAAATTTTTTGCGGTCGTATAAAAATACCTTTCTTAAGTTCTCAATTGAAAAATTTAGAAATTATTAAGAAACTAAGGTTCCAATTTACTCAGAAAAAGCTGATCCTTGATAGATTTGGCTATTTTTTTATGTAGCAATTCAGGGGCGGATCCAGCCAATTTTTAAAAGGGGGGTTTCCAACCCAGGATAAAGGGGGGGGGGGGGGGGTTTCCAACTACATGTCCCCATTCAAATGCATTGATCGTCAAAAAGAAAGGGGGGGTTCAGAATTTGGCAAAAAAATAAGTAAATTACTCTTAAATAAAATTTTTCTTTGTTGATATACTTGTTTGTTTTTATAGTGATTAAGATTATAACACTGTGTTGACTGCTGTATCCCTATTTTTAACATTTTTACCTATTATGTCTGTTTGTTTTGTAACGTTCACACATTGTTGTCGATATAATGGAATTGTATGAGACTGTCATACAAGTGAGAGGTTTAGCTAGCTATAAAACCAGGTTTAATCCACCATTTTCTACATAAGGAAATGCCTGTACCAAGTCAAGAATATGACAGTTGTTTTCCATTCGTTTGATGTGTTTGAGCTTTTGATTTTGCCATTTGCTAAGAGATTTTCCGATTTGAATTTTCCTTGGAATTTGGTATTTTTGTTATTTTAATTTTTTCTAGTACTGCATTTAAAAAAAATAGACTTTCTTGATATTTATTTCATTTTTAGTTAGGAAGCTGCTTCAGACAAAGCACCATTATTTATGTTAGTTTCAAACACAATACCATCTTTCACAATACAACTGATTTGAGCCAGGTCTTCAATAGTTGCAGTAGAAACTAAGTTCACAATTTCACCTTGTGATGTCATAATGACTTGTTCACTGGCTTGATTATTTCCTTCCTCATCTACTGCTTCTGTCACATCATCAAATGACAATGTCGAGACTGGTATCTCTGATATCTGATTAACTTGTTCCAAAACCACTTGACTGCCATTACTCTGAAAATGATTTGGAACAGGAACATGGAATGATATTGAATGATTTGTGACCCCATCTTTAGGAGGTGCTGATGTGACAGAAATTTGAATGCCATTGACTATCTGAATAGATGAGCACTCGGTGTCAGACGTGGTATTTTGTGCTATGGCATTTAGAGCATATGTGATTAGCTGACTCGATGAAATATTAGAAGAACCTAAGTCTTCATAACTTGAAATTTTTGCAAAATCATCTGCACTGATTTGAGTTTCTCCAGATTCCAAAGTTTGCACCTGCATTTGAAGATTTAGTGGTGTCCTATCTTGATCCAACTCAGCAGATTTTTGTTGTATTTCAATAATGTCCTGAAGTTGAATTCCATTTTCATTCATAATCTGAATGGTGCTCTGCATATTATTAGAGATATGTTCTTTTTCCTGGATCAACCCGTTTTCATGGTCTTTGATATGATTTAAAAAGAATTGTTCATTCACTGTCCTGTATGTGCATTCATTACAACAGAAAACTCCAGCAGCATTGGGATGTTTGTTTTTCATGTGCATTTTGATTGAGATGGCTTGTATACATGTGTATGGGCAGTAATTACATCGATAAGGTCTTTGTCCTGTGTGTCTCATAGAGTGTCGTCTGAGAGAATTATGGTCACCAGTGGCAAAAGAGCAAACTTCACACCTGTAAAAATTATATGAATATCATACATGTATATTTTGATTTAAAAAAATACAAAAATATATTTGTATATATACATGTATAATACATGTATCTGTAATTTCAGTAAGTATAGCAAATGTACAGTATCATTTTTATCATTTTTTTCTCTTTTAGAACAGGCCTCAAATATATTTTCCTGGTTTGTATAAAAGTTGTCAATTATTGTTCAACCTTTATCTCAAGAACTCTTTTATGCATAGACGTTTAGTGTGTAAGGCCTTTATAAATTGCTCCCTGGAGGATTGTAAATCATTGTTGTAAATAGGAAGTAGATGTAGAACACTTATTTGGTGCTATGCTGGTGAGTGTGCACAACATTTTTTATGTTATTTCTTCATAGACAGAAAAAATATTACAGTCATTCCTTAAATAGATAAATAATTATTGTTAAATGTACATGTACCATCCACATATATATTTTGTACTAAATCAAAGTATTATTGTTTTTGCTGTTAAAGCAATAAAATAATGACCCTTGCCCTTGAGTTTTGTATCTGACCAGTGGAGAAAAAAAATTTGATCCTAATTACATGTATGTGCTATATATATTATATACAATTTTAGGGTACTCAGACAAAAATATCACCCATGCAGTAATCTATTGATGTTACTAATACTGATGTTACTTACTTGAAAGGTTTTTCTTTAGTGTGTGTTCGTTCATGTAATAGTAACATTGCCTTCCTTGATGATGCATATCCACAGTACATGCATTTATAAGGTTTAATTTGACTGTGGACACCCTCAATATGCTTTAACAAACATTTCTGGTTTGCAAAGACCCTCTTACAAATATCACATTGTCTTTTGCCTTTAGACTTTTCATTATTTTGATCATCTGTTGAATGAATAAGTTGGTGGTTTTTCATCTGACTATACTGACGGAAACCTTTACCACATACATCACAAGTGTAAGGTTTCTCATCGCTATGGATCTCTTGGTGGATCATCAATTTACTAAAGGCATCAGTTCTAAATTCATGACAAATATCGCATTCTAAAAGGTCTGTGTCAACTTTATGTGCTTTCCATAAATGAAAGCGAATCAATCTCCAATTTTGAAATTGATGTGAACAGTGTGGACAAAGGAATGAAGTTCCACTGTCAACATGGCATTTTTGATGAATTTCTAAACTTTCTTTTGTCTTAAACTTAGCGTAACAACCAACAACAGTACATTTTTCGTCATATTTTTCTGTAACTGGCTGCATTTTCATTGTTTTTGGCAAGTTTGTATAACTTCTTTTTTCTGTATCAAGTTCTACGTGTTTACGTTTTGGCAGGTAATAATCATCTTTTAAAGCTTTCGGCCTTCTTATCTTCCTACGTGAACGACTTCCTATGTAATAATCATCTTTATCTTCTTCCCAATCAGAATCAGATAGTGGTTGGATCGTTATTGTTTCACTTTCTGCAACTGACACAGTTTCAGATTTTTTCTTCCTGCCTGGTTTTTTACCACTATTTTCCACCTGAGTTCCTACACTTATTTTTATGTTACCAACTGTTGGATCTTCGATCTGAATATTATGATCCTCCACCATATGAGCTTTACAGTCTTCAATACTATTATAGCCTATGCTGCACTGACCACAAAGGAACAACTCTTTTGTTATAGGGGGAGCTGATTTTGGCGAGTTTGCTGATTCATATGATTGTACTTCTAAGGTGAAATCTGTCTGATTGTTATCATTTGTTTGTGTACTTCCATCACAGTTGACATCACCATTTGCTTCAGAAGTATTGTGCACCAAGCATGTGTCAACTTTCTCCTCATTTTCAATTGTCTGGTTTCCAATTGAAATTATGTTGAAAGTAGAATTCTCTGTATTATTATCATCTGTAAAATTTGTCACTTGTTCATCTAATTGATCGACTGTTACCAACGTCACACTTTCATGTGACTGAAGTGAAGCTGAGGATGAGGTGTTACCAGTCACATCTGCTGATGACAGATCAACAATATTATCTAACACGCTAAAGTTTGCAACTGCAGACTGTTCAGACATGACCTTGACCTTACTACTTTGACCATCTGATTGTGGAATTTGCTGAATTTGTACACAACCTGTTTCCATATCAACAGTAAGAGTGGAATTGATTGGTATTTTCCTGTTGTTGATTTGGATAGTTTCTGTTTTTTGTTTAACAGGCTGTTGAATATGAATCTGTTTGACATGTTCACTTATTCCTTCAGGTGCAGAGCTTGTAAAACTGCAAAACCTACATTTGTAAGTTGTAACTACATCCATGTAATCTTCTATATCCAAATTGTTGGTGTCCTGCATAATGTTGATGGCCTCCATTTTCTTTTGGTTGCTAATCAGATAAAATCCTATAACAGAAATATTTTAATGCATGTTACTTTCCACAATTCATATTTAAAATGAATAGCTGCTAGCTGAATTGGACTGATAATTATTGTTTAACCATGGTACATTTATAAATAAGATCCTCAATAACCCATTAAAACTTAGTAAGTTAAAAAGAGTTGTAACACATTGAATGCATATTTTGATTGCTTTTAGGTAAAGGCAATTGTTTCAATAGTATATGGTCAGATATAATGAAAGCATCAACACTGAATGCCTTGCTTGTTTGCACATGCCTGCATGAGCCCCTACACAATGTAAAAGAAGGGATATTTTATTGATTCATATAACATGTTATTTTATATATTGGCCTTGGTACATGTATCAAGGGATGATGCTAGGGTCAATATGAATAATGCCATGAAATCATCTTTTTATCACATGTTTAACATATCTAAGCCTTTGAAATTGGAAAGAAAAAAATACAATTCAATAAAGACAGTTTGTTTTATTCTATTCATGTGTGTTTTTTTGTACTTAGTTTATTTGGAACTTTTTCTTTTGTTTTTTTTTTTTGCACATTTCAATGGAAGATGAATATATTCTTATAAAGCATGTACATTGTACATCCTTGGTTTAACCCTCCATTAATTCCTGTAACCATGTACAGTCTTCTCCAATTTCCAAAGACATATTTTTTCTAGCAATGAGGTAAATGGGATGTCTTTTTGATTGTGCATAAAGAACAATAAAATTAAGTTTGCTTATTTGATAGGTGGACCATAAAATCATAATTACCTTTAATTTCTACTTATTGATACTAGAGGTTCTAAAGAGCCTGTGTTGCTCACTTATAATTATACATTGTATCTTCAACGATTGCGACTTTTTTTTTTTTAAACCTCATTAAAGGGGAATAACAGTATTAAGATTTAACTGACAATTTCAGTCATGTTGACATATTTGTAGATCTTGTTCTGCTGATCATATTTCTTTTTTTTTTAGTTTCTATTTATCTATTATAGTTTTCAAGTTAAAGGCAAAAAATGCCAAAAAAATGTTAAGAATTATCATTCAAGGACAATAATTCAAATAATAAGTCGACTGAAGATTTCAGCCATATGGCTTATTTGTAGATCTTGTCCTGCTGATCATTTGTGCTTTTTATAGTTTCTATCTATGTATTACAGTTTTCAAGATAATAAGCAATAAAACGCTCCGCTGGGCGCAGCTTGATACGACCGCAGAGGTCAACCACTGAACAGTTGGGGCAAGTTTGGACACAACATTCAAGCTTGATACAGCACTGAATTTGGATTGTGATTAAATATTTGACACAGCATAGGTTTCTGACACAGAATGAATGTGGTCTAAGAACTTAAAAAATTTTAATTTACCTGTTCAAACCATATCATTATTATTTGCTTTTATATATAAATCAGAAACAATCAATTTAAAATGGAAAATTTCAAAGAAAAAAAAGGAAAAAATGAATGTGGTTGTGTCCACATGTGGACACAGATGATGCCCCCACTTGAATATCATATAGTTATAAAGGGACAAAACTGAAGAACGGTAAAAGAGACGCTACCCAAATTTGAACTTGATCTGTGTTTTGTGGTAATAAGCATTGTGTGTAAGTCTCATAACATTTGGTTGAGGCAAACTTAAGTTAGAGAACGGAAACTAAAAGTTTTGCAATTTTTCCATTTATAAAGGGGCATTACTCTAGAACGGTTTGAGTGACCCCACCAAAATTCACCCCTTGATCTGTATTTTGTGATAATTAGCATTGTGTATAAGTTTCATAACATTTGGGTGAGGCAAACTTAAGTAAGAGAATGGAAACTAAAAATTTAGCAATTTTTCCATTATAAAGGGGCATAACTCTAGAATTGTTTAAGTGAGGCCACCAAAATTCCAACTTGATCAGTGTTTTGTGGTAATAAGCATTGTGTATAAGTTTCATAACATTTGGTTGAGGCAAACTTAAATTAGAGAACGGAAACTAAAAGTTTTGCAATTTTTCCATTTATAAAGGGGCATTACTCTAGAACGGTTTGAGTGACCCCACCAAAATTCACCCTTGATCTGTATTTTGTGATAATTAGCATTGTGTATAAGTTTCATAACATTTGGGTGAGGCAAACTTAAGTAAGAGAATGGAAACTAAAAATTTAGCAATTTTTCCATTATAAAGGGGCATAACTCTAGAACCGTTTAAGTGACGCCACCAAAGTTCCAACTTGATCAGTGTTTTGTGGTAATAAGCATTGTGTATAAGTTTCATAACATTTGGTTGAGGCAAACTTAAATAAGAGAATGGAAACAAAAAATTTTGCAATTTTTCCATTTATAAAGGGGCAGCTCTAGAACGGTTAAAGTGACACCACCAAAATTCCAACTTGATCAGTGTTTTGTGGTAATAAGCATTGTGTATAAGTTTCATAACATTTGGTTGAGGCAAACTTAAATTAGAGAACGGAAACTAAAAGTTTTGCAATTTTTCCATTTATAAAGGGGCATTACTCTAGAACGGTTTGAGTGACCCCACCAAAATTCACCCTTGATCTGTATTTTGTGATAATAAGCATTGTGTATAAGTTTCATAACATTTGGTTGAGGCAAACTTAAATTAGAGAACGGAAACTAAAAATTTTGCAATTTTTCCATTTATAAAGGGGCAGAACTCTAGAACGGTTAGAGTGATGCTACCAAAATTCAAACTTGATTTGTATTTAGTAGTAATAAGCATTGTGAGTAAGTTTCATAACATTTGGTTGAGGCAAACTTAAGTTAGAGAACGGAAACTAAAAATTTTGCAATTTTTCCATTTATAAAGGGGCATAACTCTAGAACAGTTAAAGTGACGCCACCAAAATTCATACTTGATCTGTGTTTTGTGGTAATAAGCATTGTGTATAAGTTTCATAACATTTGGTTGAGGCAAACTGAAGTAAGAGAACGAAAACCAATTTAGGGACGTACGGACGTACAGACGGACAAGGGTAAAACTTAATGCCCCCTCCGCTACGGCGGGGGCATAAAAATCCCCCCCCCCAAATTGTTTGAACCCCCTTAAGATTCATCCCCCCAAACTCAATCCCAGCCTTCCCTTTGTGGTATGGTACCTTGCAGTACAATTTCAGAGAGATCCATACACTTGAACACAAGTTATTGTCTGGAAACTAGAAAAATGCTTGTTTTTTTGGACCCTTTTTGGCCCCAAATTCCTAAACCTTTAGGGCAATGACCCCCAAACTCAAACCCAGCTTTTCCTTTGTGATATGGAACCTTGTAGTACAATTTCATACATTCCAGCAGCGCCTCCATACGGAGTATATATCTCCCAATTGATACGATATTCCCGGGCTTGTGTTTCCTATCATGATTTCCTTGATAGAGGATTGCTGCTCACAAGGAAGCTATTAAGCCAAGAGTTCCAAATTGTGAAGTTGAAATCATCCCTTCGTAAATTTTAGGGACGCCATCACGAGTTGGTTGACCGTTATGGAATAACCGTTTCACAGATGATATCGATTATGTTCCTTATGTCGTAACTACAATACCCTTCCCTTTTCACGAATGTGACTTACCGAATTAGACTATTTACCGGATTTGTAATAACATAAGCAACACAACGGGTGCCACATGTGGTGCAGGATCTGCTTACCCTTCCTGAGCACCTGAGATCACCCTCAGTTTTTGGTGGGGTTCGTTTTGCTTAGTCTTTAGTTTTCTATGTTGTGTCATCTGTACTATTATTTGTCTGTTTGTCTTTTTAATTTTGGCCATGGCGTTGTCAGTTTGTTTTCGATCTATGAGTTTGACTGTCCCTCTGGTATCTTTCGTCCCTCTTTCATAAAGATCCATTCACCTACACACAAGTTATTGTCCTGAAACTAGAAAAATGCTTGTTTTTTGCCCCTAGTTCAGAAAATTTTGAGGCATTACCCCCAAAATCAATCCCAGCCTACCCTTTGTGGTATGCTACCTTGCAGTACAATTTCAGAGAGATCCATACACTTGAACACAAGTTATTTTCTGGAAACTAGAAAAATGCTTATTTTTGGCCCCTTATTCCTAAAAATTTTGGGCAATTACCCCCAAATTCAATTCCAGCTTTCCCTTTGTGATATGGAACCTTGTAGTACAATTTCAGAAAGATCCATACACTTACACACAAGTTATTGTCATGAAACTAGAAAAATGCTTGTTTTTTGCCCCTTTTTTGGCCCTTAATTCCTAAAATTTTGAGACAATTACCCCCAAAATCAATCCCAGCATTCCCTTTGTGATATGGAACCTTGTGGTACAATGTCAGAGAGATCCATAGATTCCATACACTAACACACAAGTTATGTCTGGAAGTTACAAAAATGCTTATTTTTGGCCCCTAATTCCTTAACTGTTGGTACCATAACCCCCAAAATCAATCCCAACCTTCCTTTTGTGGTTGTGAACCTTATGGTAAAATTTCATAGAGATCCATTCAATGTGTCTTCGGACGACGACAACGTCATACCAATATACGACCGCAAAATTTTTTGGCAGATAAAAAAGGGAAAAATCATCATTAAAGGGCAATAACTAAAAAAAGGAATCGACTAACAATTTCCCACATGCGAACTTATTTGTAGATCTTTTCTTGCTGATCATTTTTGCCTTTAAAGTTTCTATCCATCTATCATAGTTTTTAAGATATCAGCCAAAACGCAAAAAAATGGTAAAAATCATCATTAAAGGGCAATAACTCTAATTAGGAGTTGACTGAAGATTCAGCAATGTAGACTTATTTGTATATCCTGTCGTGACGTGCTGATCATTTTTGCTGTTTAAAGATTCTATCTATCAGATCTATTATAGTTTTTAAGATAATAGTCGATAATGCAAAAATTTGGCCATTACAGGACAATAACTCTGATAAGGCTTATTTGTAAATCTTTTCTTGATGATCATTTTTGCTTTTTAAAGTTTCTGTCTATCTATTAAAATTTTTGAGATATTCGTCAAAATTTTTTTTAAATGTTAAAATTTGTCATTTAAGGGCAATAACTCCTATAAGCAATGATAAGTTGTCTGTCTTAGAGTTTAGATTCAAATGCACAAAAGGCAACATTCTGAACAATATGGCCCTGACAGATTTACTCAAAATAATAGACAAAACTTGCATTTTACCCCATGTTTTATTTTTAGCTATGTCAGCCATCTTGGTTGGCAGGCAGGGTCATTGGACACCTTTTTAAAATTAAATACCCCAATGATGATTGTGGCCAATTTGGCCCTGTAGTTTCAGAGGAGTAGATTTTTGTAAACATTAACAGACGACAATGGATGCCAAGTGATGAGAAAAGATCATTTGGCCCTTCGGGCCAGGTGAGCTAAAAATTGAATACTTGGGATTCATTGAAAAGCTGAATCTTACCGTGTATTAAGATTTTTGATTTTGAACACAGTTTTAAAATTGGTCCACATTTAGGTCCAAAGGGTCGATAATTAAACTTTAAGTTTGATTTCATCTGAATCTAACTATGTATTTAGATTTTTAATTTCGTGCCCAGTTTTCAAGTTAATCTTAATCCGAGTCCAAAATTAAACTTTGTTTGATTTCAATGAAATTGAATATTTGGGGTTCTTTGATATGCTGAATCTTACCTTGTATTTAGATTTTGGGCCCTGTTATCAGATTGGTCCACTTAGAGATCCAAAGGGTGCACAATTACATGTAAACTTGTTTGATTTCATCAAAAATTTAATTCTAGGGGTTCTTTGATATGCTGAATCTAACCATGTATTAAGATTTTGGATATTGGACCATACTGTATGGGAGGTTTTTATTAATGTGAATAATGGGATTGGGTGAGTATCTCAATAATAAAAAACTGCTTAACCCTGAACAGTTGGGGCAAAAATGGACACAATATTCAAGCTTGATACAGGTCTGAATTTGGATTGTATTAAATATTTGACATATTATAGGTTTCTGAATAAATGTAGTCAAAGAACTTGAAATTGGTTATATGAATTGAATTTATATTCAATTAAAGATTTCTTGCTGTTGTGCAATACACTGTGCTGTTGCGCAATACTTAGTAAATCTGTTGTCAGACTATAAACAATTAAAGTTCAATTAATTCTCAATGTCATATTAGAAATTTATGAAAATGTAAAGGGAGCTTACATCAATAGATATAAACAATTCACCAAAGTTTCATGAGAATTGCTTCCAGCATTTTTGAGTTATTGTCAGAAAACTGGAAAATTCCCCCTTTTTTAATGAATAAAACCCCATATCTCAGAAATGTAAAATGTTAAATTTATAAAATTCTAAACGGAGCTTACATCAATAGATATAAACAATTCACCAAGGTTTCATAAGAACTGCTGAAAGCATTTTTGATTTTTTGTCTGAAAACTGGAAAATCCCCCTTTTTTTATGAATAAAACCCTGTAACTCGGAAACGTAAAATCTAAAAAATATAAAAATCGAAAGAGAGCTCATGTCAATAGATATAAACAATTCACCACAATTTCTTGCAAGTTGGTGAAAGCATTCTTGAGTTATTGTCCGAAAACTGGAAAATCCCCCTTTTTTTAATGAATAAAACCCCATAACTCGGAAACATAAAATCTTAAATTTATAAAAAACAAAAGGGAGCTCAGGTCAATAGATATAAACAATTCACCAAAGTTTTATGCAAATTGGTTAAAGGCTTTTTGAGTGAATGTCCGACATGTTGACGACGGACGGACAGATGGACGGACGGACAGAAGGACAACGGTATACCATAATACGTCCTGTAAACGGGCGTATAAAAACTTGCATTTTGATATCTAATACATAATACTGTCTGAAGATTTTCCTACAATTGCAATAATTAATCTCGCATTATTGTCCATTTTTCAAAAATCCCAAAAATAAATGCACGCAATAATTTCTGTGTCAGAAACCTATGCTATGTCAAATATTTAAATTCTTTTAAATTGCTTGATTCTTACAAAGACTGGTACTTAAATAAAAAATGTAACCTTAGATTTATTTTTTCAAAGTATGACAGAAAATTCCAGCAAAACATTAAATATCAGTAAATGGTAAATCTCTTTAAAATAAAAGAACAGAGTTCCAATGTCCCCTCATTGCACATATTTTATCTATCCAAGGTACAACGGCAATAACAAAAAAAAGCACTTTTTTGGTTCTTTAAAACTTTTTATTAATATCTTATAGAAATGGATAGGCTTCAGAGCAAATGCAATGTGATTTCCTTTATAATTAATATTTCCAAGGTGCATAACTCGTTAAAAATATTTGATCAGAACTTATTTTCGAAAGCGTCAAAGACATTGCTGATATAAACCTATGATATAAGTTTCATAAAATTCTGGCAAGAATTGAACACACAAGAGCTCTAACTATACAATTTTCCATATAAATCAATAATTCAAAGGGGCATCACCCTTTCAAAAATAATTGATCAGCACTGATTTTTTAACTCATCAAAGACATTGATGACATAAACCTATAATATAAATTTCATAAAAATCTGGCAAGAATTGTACACATTAGAGCGCTCATAAGGCAATTTTCCATAGTAATATTTCCAAGGGCATAACTCTTTCAAAAATTATTGATTGGCACTGATTTTCGAACTCCTTAAATACATTACTGATATAAACCTATGATTTAAGTTTCATAAAATTCTGGCAAGAATTGTACACATGAGAGCGCTAACAATGCAATTTTCCATATAACTAACTTTTCCAAGGGGCATAACTCTTTTAAAAATAATTGATCTGCACTTATTTTCGAACTCTTTCAAGATATTGCTAATATAAACCTATGATATAAGTTTCATAAAAATCTGGCAAGGACTGTACAAATGAGAGCACTAACGATGCAATTTTCCATATAATAAATGTTTCCAAGGGCATAACTAAAAATATTTGATCTTTACTGATGTTCGAACTTGTCCAAGACATTGCTGATATAAACCTATGATATAAGACACAAGTTTCATAAAAATCTGGTGAGAATTGTACACATGAGAGCGCTTACAAGACCGAACATGTAAAACTTTGAAATGTTGTTTTATATTTTATCATATGATTTGAAATGAAGATTTTTTGCTCATTTATCTCTCATCTTTATATTTTAGCACCCTATTATTCTGTTTTATTTATTTTTAGGCCTATTTTTCTCTATTCTCAATTAATACTTTTTGTCCTTAATTCTGCACTTTCTTTCATGGTCCTTTATTCTTTTGTTTTTTGGCCCATTATTCTCTATTCTATAAACCTCATCCAGACCAGGTCTGTAAAATTTCATGATAAAAAAATTTCCAACCCCCTTTTCTTTCTCCGCTCCTTGAAATTGAAATTTTTAAACGTTCGACAATAATACAAACGAGTGATTTCCTCTTTGCTTAGACATAAATACGATACCGCACGTCATTACTACTAATATTTCATAAAGATGGTTCGCGAAATAATGTAGAAACACCGAGTAAATATCGGAACTCAAACATTCGAGAAATTTGACCAGACACCGATTGTCTATTCTCTACACCATTCAACCTACCCTTTTTGTTTAAGTGAGGATTTTGAAAATAGTATGTATGCAGTGTATATTATCAATACACAATAATTTACCTTAGATGTTTTCATGTCAATTTATACTATTAATTCATTCAGTCAAATCGATATTTTTGAAGGTTTAACTTTAACTTCATGGCTACATCCATTAATGACGTATTTGTTACATGCATTTTGATTGGGTTATTGTATTGCATTTGTGCTTGACTCCTTTAAAAGGAGCACCATCGTACATGTTGACTAGGCCGCCCGTGCGAGGGCTGTATAGCCAGTCAATGTCGTTAAAAACTTCCATTATCATGTTGACTAGGACCGTGCGAGGGCTGTATAGCCAGTCAAGGTCGTTAAAAACCCCCATCATCAATGTTGACTAGTTCCGAGCCCCTCATGGGTAGTTAAGGTCGTTAAACACCCCCTAGTAGTACATTGACTGGTTTAATTGCCACCCCCTTTTTATTATCACAATACGCACACACAAAAATAGTCCGCAACACAATTGAAATTATTATATTTCTATCAAAACAGCTAGTATTTTGATTATTTTCTAAAGAAGCGATACACAATGTCATAAACTTTAACCGTGAAAAGTAACCAATTAACATATCAGTTTAACTCCAGTAATAAATCAATTTGTGACATCAACATGTAAATATGATAATGCAAATCATGAGATTTACATACTAGCAAATATATATTAAGGGTTCCGGCTGTCCTCAGTTCTGATTACCTCTTTGTGGGGGCGGAAGGGGGGGGGGGGGGGACTTTTCTCCTTCGGGTAAATTTGTAAAGTATAACATAACAACAGCAACAATAATATAATATTTTTCAATGTTGATAATAAAATTTCTTTGCTATTAAAAGGAAACATAGGTATCCAAATATGTTACTTCTGCATTGGAGGTCGTATTATAAATGGGTTACCTAAGACCCTTTGACCGGTGGCCTTGAGCTGTTTTCTGCTCTTTGGTCTATTTGTTGTCTCTTTGACACATTTCCTATGACTATAGTGCAATGTGGGTTTTCCGAGTAACCGCTTACAACTTTCTCCTAAATCAGGAATGTAAACTAGTTTGATCTCTGTTGGGGAGATGTCTTATTGACAATCATATAGTCACATATTTTTACAACTTGAACGTCAAATAGGATATAGGAGTGTGGTTATCTGGACTTCTCCCGGCCGATTGTAAGACCCATGCTGAGGCGGCTTTCGTTTTGCTGTGCGGGATGTAGATGGGGGAATTTTAGATTCGAGATCCCACTAACTGTACGTTAAAAAATCAGAGATACAACAACTTTTCTGGGGTACTTAGGTGGCCTGTTGCAAGAGGAAGGACACATTTTTATTTGAGTAGTTCATTACCATCACAGTGTCATAATCTGAAAGTAGTTTAACCTTCTCATGCTTCTGCAAGTTCAATATCGAAGAGCCTAAACATTTAGAATATCAATTTTACACATATAAATAAGATATATAAAAGGGCATTTAGCGCAAAACTATTTGTTGAGGACAGTTTTGATACAATATCGGAAATTTAAATGTTTTTGTAAAATTTTGAACTTTTTTAATCAACAGGAATATGAAATGAACCAAGAAAGAGAAATCTGCAGGTCAACAATACGGTAGACTGAACTTCTTTTCTGATATATGAATATTCAGAAGTCTATTTCTACTAATTGACTTCTGGAATCACGCATACCCGTGTCCGTTTATCAGAAGAAAAAAAAAATGTTATTTTATTCTTTGCACTTTCGCGTCAAACCTGTTATGTATTAATAATATATTACTTGAGTTGGCGTACTCATCTCAAGTATACATGTAAGTCATAAAATACACATCCGTACACGGGTCAAGCCAAAAACTTTAAAATCGGTATGTGCTGCTTCACCGAATAAGTGCGTCTATCTAACGAAAAGACTTGATTTTTATATTATCTTAAATAGGCTAAAAGATTGGCCCCTAGCCTATAGACATTCAACTATTCTAAATGATAAAGTCGACCGTGCGAGACCCTCATGGGTAGTCAAGGTCGTTAAACACCCCCTAGTATTATAAATGCTGATTCAGAAGCTTAATTGCATTTGCACTTATCAATTCATACTGTTACAACCATTACAGATAGAGTGTTAAGCTCATTTAGCAGTGTCAAAATCCAATTTAAACAAAACGAAATTCGTTACCATTAGGGACTAGCAAGACATAATGTGAGAAAAATACTTTAACCCGCCGCATTATATCTGTTTAATAGTATAGCAAAGGAAAATATTCTGATCTAACGGCTTTATTCCTAAAATGTTTTCAACTCGAATGTGTCTCTTAGTATTTGTCAATACAGATTAAGCAACCAATTATCCTATACAACAAGAAAACATATATTTTGCTGAATTTTTTTTTTTTTTTTTAAATCTGCGTTTTGCTTTTATTATAAAATTGTTGTCACAACTCCATGAGAACATATATTGAACGGAAATGTTTAATTTTTTATCTGAAAAGAACATTATATTGATTGCTTTTGTGGCTTAAGCAAAGAAAGTACAAATGACAACCTTGCATATATTTCAGCGATCATACATGAGTAGGGTTCGCTAGAAAATTGCAAGTAGGTCTTGTTTTCGTTTAAAATAACTTATACCATGACTGGTATTAACCTACCATGCATAGCATATGTATAGATATAACATTGAAACATTTTCTCACTATAAGTAAACTAAAAATAGTGTCATGGTCTTCCATTTTTGTTAGCTCTAATGTCATTCAAGCCTTTTGCAGAATTTGATGCAAAGGCACGGAACAAGGAGAGAATTAAGTGAGTGATAGCCTCCTTCGTAGAAATGTGTTATAATCTGAATTAAGTCACGAGTATAACATGTTTGCATTCGGGTTTTCAGTAGATGGTTTGTTTTTTTCCAATTACACATTTCTCAACTAACTCAGTGATTTTACTGTTGTAGCCGTATGTCTTCATGTAGCCATGCAAATGAATCTCTAGTAGCTTTTCCTATGTAATATCTATGTATTTTATGCACTGATATAGCAGACCTTTTGTAATCACTTTGTTAAATTTATTCTCAACTTGGCTAGCCTGTGCGTGAATAAGAGCTTGAAAATGATTTATTGAAGACCGTATGCTGATTTCTAAATGTTTTTTGTTGCTGTCTCATTGATGTGTAGACGACACCCACTATATTCCAACGCCATTGATTAGTATATATAGTAATATTTGCCGTGAGAAAACTGGTGAAGTCGTCGCAAAGATGTTGCTGATATATTTTTTTTGCCATTATATATGTTGATAACTTTGTGTGCTTAGTGTAGTCCCGGTCAAACTAGTCTTAATAGCTGTATTTAGCAATTGGATCATGAACCTTAATTCTAGTATCATGTAATATTTCTGTCACTTGCATTCTGTTTGATTTTAAACGAAATAGAATAAGAACAAAGTTCTAAATCTGCTTTAACTTTGTTCTCCATTCGTATGAATAATAGAGTGATAACTTAACCCAACTTTGAATTGAATCCTTTAATCATTCTATGCCATTCTAAATCAAAATACAATTTAATATTGAGTAACAGCTGCTTGATGATATAGCAACGAGGCCTTTTATGCTAGTCGTCCGTATTCAGCATGTAGTTAGTCCGCTTGAAATGTTAGGTTGATTATTTGTGTAGACCTTAGATAAAAAATCAAATAGCAAAGGGTCACGTGACTGTATATTTTTTCGTCCTTCCAATTCAGATCTGCATATATACTCGCCAAAGTTGCACCTGGAATTAAAAAAAAATAAAAGCGATAACATTCTACACATATATGTTCGTCAAAAAGAAAATATTGCTACTTCGAATCATGCACATATATACTCACAAAGAATACATTCAAGCAATTCTTAGAAAAGTAAGTATATGAAAGGAAATGCAAACTCATAGTGAGTGGAAGACTGAGAGAAATAAAACCATGGCAAAAAGGAAAAGAGACAAAAAGACAAATCAACAAAAAACATTACACAGAAAACTAAAGATTGAACAACACGAATATCACTCCAAGCAATCCGTAAAATGAAGTGGGTTGAAACGTAGTTCATGGTGCTAGGGACCGTCTAAAACTTGCAGTGAGGTGAGAGTTTTTTTTTCTCCGTGTTGAAGGCCTCATTGTGACTTTGGGATGACGAACAGCAATAAAAGCGCTGTTCCTTTGCTTATTGTGTGTTTTTGCTGTGCATGTACTGATTTTGTGTCATGGATGGATACCCCATATCCTTTGTTTTTCTATGCAACTTTAGCTCTTTGATATTGAATATAAACTTACCGATAATATATGTTTGTCACTACAGCTGGAATGTAGCTGCGTTGCTTTTGAACACACCCCCCCTCCCCCTTTTAGAAAAAATTAAGGCATCTCCTTAGTCATAAAGTTTTGTTCATAAACGGTTTCACTGTCGAATTTTTTAAGTTATGGTCAAAAGTAACTGGTGTTTTGTAATGTCAGTATATTTAATGTGATAGCTAGTAGTACCTGTGAAAAGGGCTCATTATCGTGTTTTTAATGTCTGTAGTTCTAAAATCTGTCTTATTGGCTTAAAGATTTAAAATATTATTAGGAACTTTTTATTGTATCATTTTTTTATTTATCAGTGATAACAGTTGTAGACTGCATTGAATACTAGATTTAAATTAACACCATTACATGGCTAAGTGCTTTCCCAATGTCAGGACCTGGCCGCTTTGTGTTGCTGTTGATTATTATGACAACGATGTTAAGTAGTTTTTTTCTTCTTTCGCTCTTTTGTTTATTTATTTTTTGCGGGTTGGGGGGGGGGGGGGGTGCGAGGGCTTGTTGTTTGAGACCATACGATGGACACACGTTATTTTGTGAATAACATTTAGGTGATGAACACAATATAATTAATACCTTTTTTCCTAAAGCATGCAACTATATTGTCACAACTAAAGCCAAAGACATACATACATGTTTAGACCGCCCGTGACATCTGTTCTATTAGTCACGTGAAAAAATGCTTGCGTTGCTTCGGCCAAATATTCTGTTGGATTAGACATAGCATAGCTGTCAACAGACCATATCCGATGCTGCTTTGCATGCTTATAAATCTCTTTTATCTGCAAATTTAAACAAAATGATAACGTGTGCATTTCTTGAACACCATAGGAAGCGTAATCCATTGAAACGATTTTGTTCAGATAGTGCAAATACATGTTGGCATAAATGATCTGCATGATTCTAAATAATACCATGCTGTTGTGATTTAAGCTTCTTTTCATATACTAAAAAATCATATTTATATACAAATGTACAGAAAAAGTCGACTTATCCATACACCAAACAAAAATATGAATAAACAACAAACAGAAAAGAGAACAACGAACAGCGATTCAAAATTATCGTGTGCAACTAGTTTCATGTTAATTTCTTACTCATAGAAATTTTAATTAGAAAAGAAAAAATGTGATTTTAACAATACGATTTGGAACGTGCACATATAGAAAGCAGTACGTGTGTTTCCATATACAAGTGCTACTGTTGGAAGAATATAATGCTCAATAAAATGCTACAGAATATCATTTAATGCTTGAAAAAATACATAAATACAAGCGATTTCAGTGACCTTCAAGTTGATAATCTAACTAAGATCATTATAGACTTAATAATTCTCAACAGTTTTGGTAAATAATTGAAAAAAAACACGTTATAAATTTCATGCGTCCGAAGCGCTTTTCTGGATTTACCTTCATCAAGAACGCTCAAAGCCAAATATTTGAAAGCCAAGGATGTATAATAATCATAATATTAAGTTACGCTTTCATGATCTTCTTCTGGCATATAATTGTAGACTTGGTGAGCAAATTCATGAACCAAGACATTTTCAGCATCGGGACCATTAGAACACATTATTCGATCTTCTCTAACAGCTGATAAAGTATTAGTCACACCATCAAGGTCTTCAAGTTTTCTCCCATCAGCAGTACATGTTGACACACATGACCCCGAGCACGAACCTACATTTAATTACATGGAACATTGATTTACGTAGATCTGAAAGGGGCAAAGTGAATATCAATTCTACTAAAGCCCTTTTAAAAACAATATTTTTGAGTTGCAAAAAGAGAGGTTTCAAGTTTCCAATTGTGACCTTCCATTTGTATGTAAGCAGCACCTTCATACGGAGAATGCACCAAGGATTGATTTTCCTATAATGATTTCCATGATAGAGCTTTGCTAGTTAAAAGGAAGCTATATTGAATAAAAGATAATTAATGGTAATGTTGAAGTCATATCTTCTGTAATATTACAGAAGGTAAAGAATATCGGTATCAAAAGTAACAAAAAATACGTCGTAGCCACACATTACCGTCCTCTTTTTTTGGTGATTTGAACATAGCCGACTGCGCCTTATCACATAATTTCTTCTTGCCATGACAACATGACGGATGCCAATAGCGGAACAGTAACTGAGTACGAATCGAGAGCACCTGAGTTCATCTCTGGTTCTCTGTTAAAAGGGTAAATGTTCCTTTTACTTTGGTTTTCAGTGTTGTTTTTTTTTTGTGCAATTTTATATTTCAATGTCTGTGTCCTGTTTCTGAAACTCGGGTTTACCATTCCAACCTTTCACATATGGTATAGTTTTAGGGAAAGAGATTTTATATGTACGAATTGATTATAAATTTTGTGATTTCTTATTTCTTATGGTAAGACAATTGACATTCTACAATCACCTGAAATGACGCATCAACGTATTTTAACAGGTGTTAAAAGAGTGTCACCAGTAGAGAAGGATCGCCTGACCTTTCCGAAGCATCTGAGATCACTCCCTGAATTTGGTGGGGTTCGTGTAGCTCAATTGGTTTTCTGTGTACTATGCTATGGATTGCTGTTTGTAAATTCGACGTTTTTCTTGAAGTCAGTGCGTTTTCTGTTTTTCGTTATATACGATCTTTGATTCCACCCTCTGTATCTTTTCTCAAATTAAATATTTTGAAAAGGCTATTTTATATTTGGACGAAAACTTACGCCCACAGAATGGCTTGTTTTTTAACAGATAATTTTCGGGGAAAACTGTTATTTTTTCGTGTCTTGAAAATATACCAACACCGCTACCATTAGCGGCAATAGATTGGAAGATGTAGGCTGGCATATGTTTCACCATTCTTTCAATATGTTGTACTGCCTGTAATGACAAGATCAAAATATAATATAAATACAACAAAAATTGATAATTAAATTGATAAATACTGGGCAGGATCGTTAAGGATATTGTATAGCAATTTGTAACCACTACCAACGTACTACATTTTTTTTACTTTCCTTGTTTCGTTTGTGTAGCGAACATTGACTTTATTATCAATGGTCTAACACATAATTAAACACATAGCTATCCTGTTTTTTCTCTCGTATATAAATATTAAATCCTTTTATCCTATCTACTGATACTTGTATGATGACTGTATATTTACCCATTTACAGTAAAGCAATGTTTAATTTCATTATCGAAGGGAAAATGTACCCAGAATTATTTTTCAGAATGGATTATTGTTTTCTTCTTATTTTCATCTAACACCCTTACCTTTTCATGTGCAGCCTGGCTCACACTTGGAGTAGCTGCTACTTTGATGGTTGACGGAGATCTCACATTGTAGATTTTCCCTTTATATCCTACATATTTTGTTCTTACACGACTGAAACATATGCCATTAAGTAAATTTTTTGTTAAGATAAATATGGTGGAATTCGCGTATGAAACATTAATCATGAAACCCTAATTCACAGAAATATTAAATATTCTTATTGTAATTGGTTTGTACAATTTCATATCATTTCTGATTCGAAAATGTTTGTAATGGTAAAATTATCGAAATTGGTGTTAAAAAGATGCTGCCTCTAAACAGTTTTTTGTGACTATTTTGTATGTTTAACTGTCAACGTATATTTGTTCCGCCTAACTGAAGTTCCGGCCAGGAAACTTTGTTATGAACAATGCCCTAATATCTGTTCCTGTTGGAACAAATATTCTATACCTTTTTATTCCGTTAGGAATGTTCCAGTTGAAATAATACACTGTAAAAACAGTGTTTAGATTCTAAACACAAATCTAAACACTTTTTCTGTGTACGTTTTGAAACACGTTTAGCATCTAAACATGTTTAGATTTTAACAAGTGTTTAGATTCCAACAAGTGTTTAGATGTCAGATGTTTAGACCTTCTGTTAGGCTACTAGTACTATGATTTTACAGGAACTACTAGTGGTACAGCACTACAGATTGGATACTAATAGTGCATTGTATAATATTGTAGAATATACAATTCAAGTGTACAAATCTGCTTAAATGTCCTTGTGATTATTTTTACCATCATTTGTCCTCGTCAATACAAAATACTAAAGCTAGAAAACTGCAGTAATGATAATAATAACAATAATAATAGGGTTACACATTTTTAATTTTTATTCTTCCTGGAGGCCTAAGAAAAGTCTGTAAACCATAAGACCAAGTTTAACCCACCATTATTTTTAAAGGAAAATGCCTGTACGAAGTCAGGAATATAACAGGTTTGCTTCCATTTGTTCTGTTGGTTTATGTAGTCAAGCGTTTGATTTTGTCAGGTTTTATGGACCTTTACCTTTTTAAACACAATATGGAGGTTGGATCTTTTATTTTGTTTTTTTATTCCAGACTTGAGGATAACATACAATCTATTCAAATTATTTCAATATTTTATTTAAAAGTCTCACTTAAAGCAAACAAAAAATACAATTATAAATCTTGATATAATCTGTACAGATTTATGAGAGACAATAACAAGTTTACATTATTTTCCCTTGAAAAATTATAACATTTTCATCACCGATTTCATAAGTGTTAATAGGTTTAATAAAGAGAATTTGCCATATATAGTCATTTACAGGAAAATGTAAAATCACATGAATTTTATCCTCAACAAAACAGAAATTGTCAGTCCATCTCCTATCATACAGGAATTGTTCATTACGGAACTATCTTCTTTTGAATGATAAAGGCTCTTGGTGGGCAGTTCTTTTTGGTTGTCAGGTGAACTTTTGTAAACTGAAACGAAAAAATGAAACCTTCAAGTACATGTACATTGGTAGTGCAACAGTCACTTATTCTTATATTAAAATACATTAAACAAGGTTCTCAAAAGATTCTTGCAAAAGAAAAATACAAATTGTAGTTAAAAAGACAAAACTTTAAACAATGTACACATCAATAGACAAATAAATCAAAGGGAACAATATAGCATGTAAGTTTTTTTATATTTTTAAAACAAAATCCTCGATTTCTGAGAGCTACAGTCTTTTCTCTTATTTGTAATATATTTTTTTTAGAATTACCAATTTTTCTATTTTCAACAGGATATATACTAGAGTATGAATTAACCTTCATTTTTCAATCATATTACAATGTATTATAGTTCTATTGGCTACTTAATAATATACTTATATATTTTTACTTACATCTGCTTTTGAAATTAAGACATCCTTTTCTTTCTTCATTGTTTTATATCTGATCTTTTCTTCGATTTGATCTATATTCTAGGGATTTCATTCCCACTACTATGTCACAGTCCTATAAATACATACAAACAAATTATTAAATTTATTTAAAGGTTTAAATAAAATATATTAATAACTTGTCGGTTAATTTTTGACTTACGAGTTTGAATGATCCTTTGGTATTGTCAGTTTATTTTCAACTTATGATTTTGAATGTTCTTTTGGTATTCTTAGTTTCTCTTTGACAAATGTAGTGTAACTATAATTTCAGTGTTTATATGTGTAAAAGATGTTGCACTATGGGCCATTGGGATCTTATTTCTTGCAAAGTTAAAATACATGAAACTATGATTTTATGTACAGGGACTAATACTGTTACATGTACCTATACAGAATGTAAATAAAAACTCAATGATGTTTCACAAACAAAACCAAAGATTCATACATTGATAAAATGTGTGCATAGACATGATAGACTGACTGTTTCTTCTGAAAATTCAGTGAACTACAACGTACTACTATAGTCCAATTAATTATGACGTCTTGAAAGGGTATTTTATTTTTTTGCTTTGAAGTCTTACAGCGACGTCACAAAGCATTCTTAATAGCACGAAAACCCATGAGACGAGGATACAAGACCCCCCCTCCCCGAATTAAATGTTTGCTCCTATCAACAATATCAGAGTCGGAACAATGAGGGGAAGGGGGTCTGGACACCTTAAAGAGATACATATAGGTTAACAGTTTAATGCACATATTCCTAACTAAGCCTGTTTTGTGCCCCACCCCCCTTTTTACGAAATCTGGATTTGCTTACCTTCTGCTGCTGTAATAATTGTTAAGCTGGCTTTTGATTCCGTCAATATTCTAATAAGATGTTCTGTATCTGTTGCATCGTCCATAGATATATTTGCTTGGTCGATGGGATCCATTGTTTTAAATTTTGTTTGTCTTTGGCGGGTCTGAAGGTGGCACGGTAGTATTTCCTGGCCCATAAGGGATAATGATAGCCTTTTTAGAATTTTCACCACTTTCTAACACTGCTAAAAATTCTACATTCACAGTTAACTGAAGTACTTTCATTTTACTATTCAGAAATGAATTTGAATATGTATCATGACCGTTTACTTTTTTTGCTATCTTTAAGAACCTAAGGCCACTAGTGCTTTTAGGTCTTTTATCGTGCAGTGAATACAAAATTTAAAAAAATTCTCAAAAATTCATTTTCATCTGTATGTAAAATTATTTCATATTTTTCTACACCTGATTCATCCCTCAGTTTGGGAAAGTATGTTCAGTTGATACTGTATTTTTTGTCCAATCATAATGTTCAGATACATTGACTTAAGTAGGGTACACAAAAGAGCAACCTAAATTCTGGAATGCAAATACTACCGTGCTACCTGAAGGCGTCTGTATCAAATTACCAAGAAAGATAACTCTGTTCGTTTAATAAAATCAGATCATAGTCGGACAACGACTCCGGAAATTAGAGAAAATATTCACTCATATCTTCCTTAAATACTATCAAGATTCAGTAAAAAAAAGTAATTGCTTAACATATAGAAATTTTAATTGATAGCAAATCTATAATCTTACAACACAAAAAAGGGCCGCGGAACTCAGTTGGGGAAGATGATATGAATTGTTCTCATAAGTAGCTCATACCAGGAACATATATTGACTCATACTTGGGACTGATTTGTAAATATAATTATCTGTTCCATAATTTTCATTTCAATAAAACAGAGATAGTGTCACAGAATACGTTGGAAAATAAAGGAACATCGAGTAAAAAGGTGAAATCAGTAATGAAGTGGTATAATGTGTTTAGGTGTTTAAGAAAGTGTTTCAGAAGTGTTTAGATGCTACTTAATGTTTAGCTTACTGATAACATTCACAGATAATAAAACTGCAACACGTTTAAATTCTAAACATGTTTAGGTTTCAATGTGTTTACGTGAATATCCGTTTAGATCCTAAACGCTTTCCTAAACACGTTTAGATCTAAACATGTTGTAGATGTGTTTCAATTCTAAACGCCGTTTTTACAGTGTACTACAGAATATGTCTTCCACTTGGAACTCATATTATGGAGAAACTTCTATTTAATGGTATAACTAACATTTATGTTGATGCACCCTTAAGCATATCGAATACTTGAGTCATTACCACTTGTATGACATTTATGTTTATGCACCCTTAAGCATATCGAATACTTGAGTCAATTCCATTTGTATGATATTTATGTTGATGCACCCTTAAGCATATCGAATACTTGAGTCAATACCACTCGTATTACATTTATGTTGATGCACCCTCAAGCATATCGAATACTTGAGTCATTTCCATTTGTATGACATTTATGTTTGTGCACCCTTAAGCATATCGAATACTTGACTCATTTCCACTTGTATGACATTTATGTTGATGCACCCTTAAGCATTTCGAATACTTGAGTCATTACCACGTGTTTTCAAATTTCAAACTTTATTAGTTTCTTTGCGACTGTCATACAAGTGAGAGGTTTAGCTAGCTATAAAACCAGGCTTAATCCACCATTTCCTACATTAGGAAATGCCTGTACCAAGTCAGGAATATAACAGTTGTTTTCCATTCGTTTGATGCGTTTGAACTTTTGATTTTGCCATTTCATAAAGGACTTTCCGTTTTGAATATCCCTTGGAGTTCGATATTTTTGTTATTTAACTTTTTAGACCAAATGATACACCACAAACTTATTAAAGGAGAATATGATAGAATGAATATGTTGAAATATATTATCGGAAGATTCTTGTGTTTGATATGCATACTGACCTTAATTCTGTAGAAAAACCTACAAAATGTAAAGTAAAATATAAAGTAATAACTATTGTCAAATAACATAGCGACATCTCTTCTCTGAGGTGTTTTAAAGTGATTGATTAAAGATTAATGGTTGTTAGCTTTATGTCCAGTGGCAAATATTTCATGCATGTTAAGGAAGATAACAAATTAAGTACTTTTGATAGAAATGCTGAGAGACATGATTACACTTTTTACATGAAAATCTCGGAGATAAAACATACACTGGAGATAATAAATCACCTTACTCTTTATTCTTATTGTTGTAAATTGTATGTAAAAATGTAGATATTTTTCTTGTTTAAACGTGTCAATGACACAA